CGAGATCATCCTGGCCAACACGGTGAAAACCCGTCTCCACTAAAAATACAAAAAGTAGCTGGGCATGGTGGTTGGCACCTGTAGTCCCAGCTACTCGGGAGGCTAAGGCAGGAGAATCACTTGAACCCAGGAGGGGGAGGTTGTAATGAGCTGAGATCACGCCACTGCACTCCAGCCTGGCGACAGAGTGAGACTCCATCTCCGGGGAAAACACACACACACACACACACACACACACACACACAAGAAAAGAAAGAAAATCCATCCCCAGCCAGGCACAATGGCTCACGCCTGTAATCCCAGCACTTTGGGAAGCTGAGGTGGGTGGATTACCTGAGGTCAGGAGTTCGAGACCAGCATGGCCAATATTGCGAAACCCCATCTCTACTAAAAATACAAAAATTAGCTGGGCTTGGTGGCACGCACCTATAATCCCAGCTACTGGGGAGGCTGAGGCAGAAAATTCCTTGAACCTGGAGGCAGAAGTTGCAGTGAGCCAAGATTGCACCTGGGTGATCAGAGCAAGACTATCTCAAAAAAAAAAAAAAAAAAAAAAAAAAAGTACAATCCATCCTTCAAGATCTGATTGGTTCCGCTCAATCAGAATGTCCTTCCTATCCTCCTAGTACCAATTAAATTGTGTCCCTCCTTCAAGACTCAATTCATGGACTCTGCCTCCCCAGACCAGCCTGTCCTAAGTGAGCTATTTTAAAGTAATTGCAATTGCCACTCTTTCAGCAACTGATCATGAACACCCTGTGACATCTCTTCCATTATAATCACAAACTGTTACTTAAATCTTCAATGACCTGTACCTATTTAGTGTCCCCAATTAGTACATTACCTCCTTGAACAGCGGGAGGGACTGTATCAACCACGTAAGGTGGCACAGTACAAAGCATCAAGGAACGGTTACTGATGGAGCCGGTGGGAGATGGGGACCAAACTTTGAGGTAGGTGGCCTCTGACCTCCCCTCTGCCCAGGCACTCGCCCCAGGTGCTCCACTGCTCTGGGCCTGCCCTCCCTGGCTCAGTGCCCTCATGGTATCCCCAACCTCACCCCCCACCTCAGCACTCAAACTTTGTTACTATTTTGAACATCTTCTACCTCTAAAGCAACTTCCCTGTCCAGTTTCTTTCTTACTCCAGGTGTGAAACTAGCTAAACTGATTAACCTGTGCTGATACAGTTATGGGAGAGGGCTAGAGTAGAACCTCAGGAGACAGGTTAATTTTAACCAGAGTCAAGTGGCAATAAGTCTCTGCCTTTTCGTGGTTTAATGGAGTCAGGAGTCAAGAGATGACCCTCATCTCCCAGCAGCTGATATGTTACTCCCTCCTCTGGGTTCCCACAGCACTTCGTTTTATTTTTCTGAGATAGAGTCTCCCTCCCTTACCCAGGCTGGAGTGCAGTGGCGCAATCTTGGGTCACTGCAGCCTCTGCCTCCGGAGTTCAAGCAGTTTTCCTGCCTCAGCCTCCCGAGTTCAAGCGGTTCTCCTGCCTCACCCTCCCAAGTAGCTGTGACTACAGCTGCGTGCCACCACGCCCAGCAAATTTTTGTAATTTTAGTAGAGACAGGGTTTCACCATGTTGATCAGGCTGGTCTCGAACTCCTGACCTCAAGTGATCTGCCCACCTCAGCCTCCCAAGGTGCTGGGATTACAGCCCTGAGCCACCTCACAGCACTTTGTAAATACCTCTTATGGTAGCACTTAGCACACTGCAGTTCCTTAATTACCTGTTTATGTAGGGTTCCCCGCCAATAGACTGTGGAGCTCCTCAAGGACAGGGACTGTGTGTTAGTCGCTGATGTATCCCCCAGTGCCTAGCACACTGCCTGACACACAGTAGGTTCTTAATAAATGCTTATTGGAAGAATGAACGGGTCCTGATTTTAATTCTGGGACCTTTGCCCTATGCTATGGCAGGCAAGAGGAGAGGGAGGGGGACAATCCACACTTGGGAGCTAAGGCGGCTTTCTGCCCGCTCCTATAACACTGCGGGGGGCTACTTCCTTTGCCCCTGGAGTGTTACAGACATCCCCGATCACAGGGTCCACGAGGAGCCCAGGGGCTGCTTGCCAGCTGTGCGTTGCTGTCACCAGGTGCCACATGCAACTCCTGAACTCCCGCCCTTTGCTGCTGCCCGCTTCCAGGGACTGCCTCGCCACTATTTCCTCACCCTTGGGTGGGGCTGTCGGGTGGAAGTGTCAGCTCCGGTGGGTGGGGCGGGACAAGAAGCTATTCTGAGGGTTACAGGCCTTTCTGATCCCATCCTGTACTCCAAAAGAGGCAGTTGCCTCCAGCTCTGAAGTCGCTGAACCTGGGGTGAGTGAGCTTCTTCCCCTCCTGGACGGAGGTCCCAGCCTCCGAGAACTTCGGTCCCGGCGCGCCGGACGTGGAGGCCGACGTCCAGCAGGTGGCGCTGTCGAGCCAGCGATGGCGGGCGAGTCGCCCGGCGGGGCCCGGGAAGGGAGGGGCACCCAGGGCGGGGCCTACCGTCCCTGGCGGAGGCGGCCGCGACCGCGGCCGGCGTCTTCCAGTCCCTCGATCATGCCCCTGCGCCCGCAACTGTCCCCAGACGGTTCCGGCCGCCACCAAAGCCCTCCGCTGCTCCGGAGCTTCGAACTTTCCCCTCGGCCCCCGCCCCCTTCACTTTCCAGGGGGAATTTAGCTGGCCGCCGAATGCGCTCCCCCATTGGCCAACTGCGCTCTGGCCCCGCCCCCGGCGCCCCCTCCCCCAGCCTCGCGGACCAGCAGGTGAGCACGCGGCGCCGCAGCCACCCGGCCTGCCCTTCGCTCCCCTCGCGCGCCGCTGCCTTCTACCGTGAAGCGGCAGAGCGATCGAGGCGCCCTAGACAGCCGTTTGCTAGCCGAGGGACCTGACCGCCGGCCGCGCGAGCACGGCTCCCAAGAACCGGCGCGGGGCCTAAAGACGTCGCTCCAGCGGCCGGACGCTGCGGCTTGGCCGGCTCCCCGCGCGGTGGCAGCCGGAGCGCTAGGGAAACAAGTGGAGGCCCGGCCCGTCCCTGCTGCGGGGTCCAGAAGGCCCGAGCACTTCGCGTCCCCCTGCCCAGCAGTTGAGCAGATGCCCCTGGGGCGGACCCCACCCTTCCCCAAACACACACACACTGGTCTTTGCATGGGTGGGACACAGTTACCCACCAAGGCCTCCCGGTTATTGGGTTAGAGTATGGAACAGGGCAGGAGTTTACTGCCCCATTCACCATCGCCCCCAACACCACCTACCCCACGCCAAATAGGGATGCAGAGATGATCCCTCCTCCCGACTTGACCAGAGCCTCTCTTTCAAGCCCAAAGAGCTTTCTGATAAGACCCTCATTAACCATAGGCTCCTGAGCTCTGCATGAAGGAGGAACTAATGTTGGCTAAACAGATATTTTTGGTCCTCAGTGTGATGCTTTGTCAGTAGGTGGGTACATTGGCCTCCATTTGGCTGATGGAGCAATGAAGGCTGGGAAAGATTAGGTTCTCGCCCAAGGTCAGCCTAGGTAGTTAGGAGTGGTGCTGGCTCTTTCCTCTACACCATACTAAAAGGACTGGGAGATATTTAATAAGAGGCCACCAAGCCATCCTCACCCCAATCCTGACCGGGGATGTAGATTTAATGCCACGGCCCATACTTCCTGCCTTAATCTTTCCAACCTGGCAGAAGGGCAGTGGGACTCCAGGTAAGCTGTGGGCAAAGAACCCAAAAAGCAATAAAACAATCTGCTGTTTGGTTTTGCTTTTACCTCCCCTTGTCTCCAAGCCTTTGCTCAGATTGTCCCTTCAGTTCAAACACTCTTCCCTGCCACCTCTAATTCCTAGATTTCTACCTTTTAAAGTATCAACCAGGCATCACCTCTTCTAGGATGTGTTCCCAGGGCCCTTGCCCATCCCTCTGAGCTCCCATAGCATCCTGAGCCTAGTTGAATTCTTATACTCACCACATGGCTTTCATAACCTATCAACATGTCAGATTTCTGGACTTAACTGCAAGTTCCAAGCACAGTATCGACCTGAATTCAGAACCACTGTGGGCTTGTTTAGGAATCTGACAAAAGTGGCTATTGCATAGGGCCTTGGGATCAGAAAGTGGGGAGAGGAGGACCAATGAGGAAGATTAATGCTATGGTTCAAAGAGGATGATGCTTGGGCCTGGGTCGAGTCAAGCTTCTGAGGCTTGAGCAAAGACAGCAGCTTAGAGTTCACTCCTGGGGATGGCTGGACTCCAGCCGGCCAGACGCACAGATCCCTTCGCCTCTACACTCTCTGACAGGGCTCTCCAGACTCGAAAGCCACAGTGAGAGGCCCTAAGAGAAAAGAGCTTCAAAAGGCCTCATCCCAGGCCTCTCGAACATCCTCTTCCTCTCAGTCACTGGTGCATTCTGGAACCAGCAATCACAAGAATCATAGCTTCCACCACTGTTTTTCTGAAGTGGGAGGAAAAACTGCAAAATCTAGGATGGGCATCTTGCCTTCATGGTAGCTTGGTGGCAGGAAAACAGAACCGTGGAAGGCCTGCACTGTGGGCGGGGAGCACTGGCACAACAGTGAGGGCAGTGATGAGGCCATGCAGCCAGATGCCACCTCGGCAGGGTGGCCCAGGGCAGGCAGACGACTTCCTTGAGGCTTATTCCCACAGCCACCAAAGAGAGGGCTACTTCCTCCAACCCTGTTACTCCTATGGAAACAAGGACTGCCCAGGCACCTGCTTCAACTCCAAACCAAAGCAACAGGAGCCAGATGCTCCATTTGCCCCACTGGCCCCACCCCCAGGATTTGCCCCTTTCTTTTTCTTTCCAGATCGTGACCCAACGTTCACTAGTCACTCCACCTTGCCTTCATTCATCGTACCCCTCGGGACCCACAGCTGCAAAGCAGGATGGTGGGGACTCCCTATTTACTGAATCACAATGCCCACCTTCTGAAACCACCAAAAAGTCCCAAAGGGGAGGAGAGAAAAAGAGAGACGGGAGACAGAAGCCCTGACACAGGATTTTCAGTATGCAAGTGTTTTTGACTCCACAGCCAGTTGCTTAAAATGAAACATAAAGGGCAGCCAGAATATACACCCAAATGCGAAAAAAGGAAAGGCAAACAGAACATGAAATAAACTACACAATACCAGGAACCCCAACAAAACCAACAAATTAAAGTCCAAAACCCCTCAACTTTATATATATATATATATATATGTATGTATATATATATGTATTTTTTTTCTTAAAAAGGGAAAACAACTGTTCAAAACCAACTGGGCAGTACGGTGGGGGTGGGGAGCAGTCCTATAGAAGGGGCTGAGAACTTCTCCCCCAGGAACAAAGAACAAACACAATACAAAGAAAATAACCACCAATGCTCCCGCATGGCTCAGGAGCCTCTAGAGAACAGATTGTCCCATCCTCAAACTGGCTTTTTTTTTCCTTTTTTTTTTTAATCTTTTTTTTTTTTTCCATTTTCTTTTTTTGTTGTTGTTGTTTTAGCACCTGTACAATAAAACTGTACCATCTCCAACCAGAGCCGGCCACGGCGAGGCCCTCCTGCCTTTGGATGGTACATACTCTACAAGGATTGTTCGGAAAAATAGCAATTGGTAGAAAAATAAGAAGAGTGGGAGGGACAACGCCACAGAGGGGGTGGGGACAGGGAAGCAACCCAAGCTCCTCCCTCTCTCTGTCACTCGACAAACCCAGCGCTGGAGGCCCGGAGGCCAGGAGGAGGCCAGGAGGCCGGGGGAGGCCAGGCGGGGCCACCACTCAGCCCCAGGCCCCCAGGCAGGAGTGGAACAAGGGCTGGAGACCACTTTCCTGCCCTTGCCTAGGAAACAGCTGACACCTGGATTTCACATCTGGCAGTCAGTCCCAGAGCCCTCTGCAGATTCCCAAGGAGAATGGGGGGCTGAGGGAGGAGGAAGGAGGAGAGGAAGGAAACGGGTGCTATGAGTCTGAAAAGGGGCAGGGATGGGGGTGATAAGGGCTGGGAGGTGAGAGGCTCAGTATCTTGAGACAGGGAGGCCAGAACGGGGTGGGGGAGTGGAGGCAGGAACAAACTCGTATTGTGCACTCTGAGGGGGGGCAGTGAAGAAGGCATGAGGAGGGGGCACCCTCACCCCTCAGATCCCTTCTCCACGCTCCTTTATTAGAGTAATTTATTAACCCCGCACCTCACAATTCTCCCCTCCCCGTCAACACTAATCTCAAGATAGCAGGGCTGCTGCAAAAGGCGGGAGGGGGCGGGTGGGGGAGCACCAAAGCCTCAGGATTTACCCCCAAGCCCCCAGCCCTGGGCCAGCAGCAGCCAGCTTCGTTAGTCACAAGTCCATGTCCCCCCACCCCATTCCTCCCCACCCCCTCCCCAGTGGGGGAAAAAAACACCTGGGAATAGCTTTGTCAGAGCTCATCAACAAAGAAAAAGAAGAGGAGGTACAGAAAGTCCCTCAATACAACAAGTTGTCTCAAATCGTCACAGTGATACAGACTTATCAGAAACCAATGAAACAATACAAATTAAATACTAATAAAATAAATACTACAGGAGACAGAAGAACACAGGGGAATGGAGTTGGGGGGCGCTCAAAGATCTGGGATTTTCTCATTTCTCCTCGGGACAGGCCAAGGCCACCCAGGGCCCAGGTTTGGTCTTGGTCATAAACAAGGAGGCCAGTCCAAAAGACCCCAGCGCCACCTCCCACCACCCCCGGGACCTCTTGTCCTCAGACGTGGAGTTCAACTTTCCACCCCCATCACCAACCACGATAACAATGACGACGAGGACAGGGAGATGAGAACTAATTGTAACCAAAAAAACAAAAACAGTCCAGTCGCTAATGCTGGCATTGATAAGGCGGCTTCTTGTTGGTCCATATTATTGCCTCATTCTGCAGTCTGGTGCTCGGTGGGGGAAAGACAATGAGGTGGGGGAAGGGCGAACTCGGAAGGAGAAAGAAGAAGAGGAGGAGCTGTTTTCCCGGTCAACTGTTGCAAGACTGGAATTCCACCTCGGACCCTAGGAGCCGAAGTAGGTCTGGCTCGTACCGCACCAGCTCCACAGTCTCAGAGGAGCCTGGGGGGGATCTGTCGTCCAAGCCTCCAGGCCTCTCAGCAGGGGTCAGCAGCTGACTGGAGGCCACCTGCCTGTAGAACTCAGCCTTGGGCATGGTGGTGATTTCAAAGTGCGGGAACCGGGCCTGAAAGATCCTCGAGGAAAGCTTCAGCCTCTTCAAGACATCAGAAAAGAGGAACCAGTTGCAGGGCCTGCAAAGGCAAGGATGGGAGTTATGGAAGGAGCTAGAGGAAGCGGTGGGGGCACTGACCCAGAACACTCTGCAAAGTCCACAAAGGCTGTGTGACCACCAGTGTTCCCCATTATAACTCACTGCCAGTCTGGCTCCCCTGTCCCCTGCTAAACCACAGGCTCCTTGGGTATAGCTGAGGCAAATGTCTTCTGTCCCCTGCAATGCCTGGCCCAGCTTTCAGCTAAATGGCGAGCACGCAGTCGGTGACCACCTCTTCCAAAATAACACAAGCAGGAGGGAAAGGGGCCTTCTAGAACCTAAAACTCTTAGCAGGCTTCTTGGGGACTTACCCTGTACCCCTGTGACCTGGCATTTGCCATCTATTGGGACCAGTCTTTCCCCCGACTCCCGCCCCTGCCAACCCTGGCTGGCTTCCCTCTCCTGTTCTCACTCTAGCTTCCCTGGCCTCCTTGCGCTCCAAGATCTTCCCCAGCAGAGGGGGAGCCGTGGAGAAAGGCCTAAACTGCGGGTAATCCAAAAGGCATTTCTCTTTGGCTCTGGAATGCATTAGACGAGTGTTTTCTCCGGCAGCACCATCGTTTCTGCAGGGCCAGAGCTCACATTACAGAGAGTCGGAGTCTGACTTTGCTGAGCACACCCAACTGGGTGGCAGCCTAGGGACAGCTGGGAGGGGTGCTGGAGAGGCTGATCCCGGGCCAAACGCTTACATTGACTAATGCGGGAAGAAGCGCTGCCTCCCCACATGAGTGGTCCTGGTTCACGGGGTTTTCCCTCCTCGCTATTCCACTATCCCAGTTCCAGCCTTTGCCACTTCTGGCCTGGGCTCCGTCTTGTCAGCCTCCCAACCAGTTTCCCTTTGCCAAGAGTCACTCTTCTGCACCCCCACCCACCCTCATTGGATCTTCTGTTACCATTACGGTTTTCTTTTTTTTTTTTCCCAAGACACAGTCTCTAGGCTGGAGTGCAGTGGCGCAATCTCGGCTCACTGCAACCTCCATCTCCCTGGTTCGAGCGATTCTCCTGCCTCAGCCTCCTGAGTAGCTGGGATTACAGGCGCACACCACCACGCCTGGCTAATTTTTGTATTTTCAGTAGAGACGGGGTTTCACCATATTGACCAGGTTGGTCTCAAACTCCTGACGTCCAGTGATCCACCCGCCTCAGCCTCCCAAAGTGCTGGGATTACAGGCATGAGCCACCATGCCCAGCCACTAGCATGATATAAGACCTTCTAACCTCTTCAGCCCAATGTCTATCCAATCTCTCTCTCTCTGTCTCTCTCTCTCTCTCTCTCACACACACACACACACACACACACACACACGCCACATTGTATCCCCCACCCCACCAAGCACCAGCCACATGATAAAGGACTCCCCCTACTTTCTGAACTTGTATGTTTCAGTGCCTTGCTCTCCATCCTTCTCTCCTTCCCGGCCCAGCTCAGGCAGATACTGTATCACCTGTGAAACCTTCCCCTAGTGTAACGCATTGTTCCTCCATCTCCCATGGTCTCCTGGCATTTGATTCACATCCCTATTGTAATATTACTAACAAAGCCCATTTCTGAAAGGATTGCAAAGGAACCTTAAACTGTGGTTCACTCTGCAGCATAGCAATGGGGGCTCAGGGTTGACTGGAACTTTTTGTATTTGGCACCCTTCTGAAACTATTGGAGGTTTTGTTTTGTTTTGTTTTGTTTTGTTTTTTTACAATAAATCTGCTTAGGATATTTTGTGTTTTATTAGAGTTAATTATATACTTGTCTGTCTACTGCACTAGACGGTGGATTCTTTGAAGGCCAGAGCTGAGTTCTGGTCCTCAGGGTTTGACCTGGTGCAGCTGTTTAAGACATGTTTATAGAATCAAATGTTCTGTTCCAGTGCCTTAAACATCTAACCAGACCCACAGTCCTCATCCCTAAAATGAAACATTTCTCCCAAATGACAGCAGGCTCTTATCTCACATGATTAGGAAATGGAGTGCTCTCAGTTAAGAAAAGGAGACTACAGATATCATACACTTGGACCATCACTTCCAAAGAATGGGAAAAAAGCCCTGAGAACATTCACACTAGTGATGAGAACTCAGTCTTGCTTTCGTGATTCAGAAGGCCCTTCTGCACCCCATAGGGCCTCAGAGGCATCATTCTACGCTAGCACCCCCACCCCCAACTTCTTGAAGAACAGACATTTTCACAGTGTGCGCAGCTTTGGGGAAAGGCAGCTCTAGAGCGAGCGTTAGAGGATGTCACATCAGGAAAACCAGCTTTGCTGCTACCAGGCTCTGGGCTAACCACATGCCTGCCACCCGGCTCGCTGAGGGGCACGCAGCCCTCTGTGGCCCGTGTTCTGTCCGTACCTAATGCAGACTACCCTGGTCCTTTTACTGCCTGAAGCCCAAGATCCTGTTTCAGAGAGGGAGGTGCTGAATACATCGGAGGAATTAATTAACCCTGCAATACTATATCCCAGAGGCCCCGCCCTGCCCTCAGGGATCAGCTTATGTCCAGAAGAATAAGGACCAAAAGCCCCTGAAACTTGATCCCTACTAGTGCCATCATATATGCTATTTTTATTCTGATCAGGGCATGTGTGTGGGGCAGTGGGGGGGAGGGCGGAGGGAGGGCAGGGGATGCAAAGAAACTGTGGTCTAATGATTAGAGCCCTAAACAGAGGCTCTCACTTAAAGACCTCCTCATCCATCGTCTACCCAGCTCCCTATCCTGTGTGCATCATGCTGGTTCACTGGCTTATTTTATTATTTTATTTTATTTTGTTTTGAGATGGAGTCTCACTCTGTCGGCCAGGCTGGAGTGCAGTGGGCAATCTCAGCTCACTGCAAGGCCCGCCTCACAGGTTCAGGCAATTCTCCTGCCTCAGCTTCCCATGTAACTGGGATGACAGGTGCCTGCCACCACATCCAGCTAATTTTTATATGTTTAGTAGAAATGAGGTTTCACCATGTTGGCCAGGCTGGTCTCGAACTCCTGGCCTCAAGTGATCCAGCCGCCTTGGCCTCCCAAAGTGCTGGAGTTACACTGGCCATGCCCGGCCACTGGTTCACAGGTTTTTAACATAGAGTTGACATTTATAAAAAATAGATATCAAAGAAAAATTATCCTTACAATTGTTTGGAAAAGTATTTGAAATACATGAAGACACCAATCAGAGAGAAAAAAATCATGGAGGCTAAGAACAAAAGGGCAGTTGAGCCTGCATTCTCCTTCTCTCAACCAGCACTTCCACACACTGACATGTGGGGAGACCCAACAAGAACCATGGCCCTGCCGGCTGTCGAACTCCCTCCAGAACCATCAAATAAATATTAAATTGGGTTCAATCTAATGTTACGTGTCAGGCATATTCTATATTCTAGTCTCCTTAAATAAATGGGTGATCCCCAACATAATATGCACAGTCATCTAGGCTGACAATGTTGGCACCACCGCGCTAACATTATGGCACTGAGAAACTAGGCTGTAGATTACTGAAGGATCCCAGTGGCCCCATGGCTACGGCAACCACATGTCCTGGCTTTTCCAACAATCTCAATTTCAAATATTCTATCTGTTTACCCCCAGAAACTACAAAAATGTTCCAAAGATTCTAGCAGTTCATCGGCCCAAGTATCTCTCAGATTATCTTTTATACCCAGTAACAGTGCAAAAAAGCCTTCTGAGAGAGAATCTAGATTTAAGGTTCAGGAAATGCAGATAGTCAATGTCCATGGAGCCTGTAGCCTCTAGTTTGAACATGACTACTCTGGGCTAAAAGGGCAGGTTAGCCTTTGTCATGTGTAATGGCACTTGTTGGCCAGGTCTTCACTTCCTCCTGGAGAACTCCACTTTCCCAGTGAGGTGGTCCACTGTTGCCAGGATCCTGGCACTTAGTCGCCACTGGATCTCTCAGACACTTACCCACGGGACACTGACACTTGGAGGTTGTAGCAAGGGAGAAGAGGCTTGTCTGAGAGTTCGAACATGAAATCATCCTCCTCCATTGGATCGTCTCCTTCTTGATCAGAGCTCCCAGGAGGATTATGTAGGAGGTCACAGGCAAACCCGTCTTTTTCCTCTGTAAGGGGAGCATATAGGGGATTAGGACTCAGATACATGTACAAAACCGAAGAAAAGAAATGAGCCAAGCAGATAAAGGGGCATGGGGGGGTGGTAGTTGGGAGGTTAATGACAAGGCCACAGGCCCCTAGTCAGGGACGAGGTTTGCCAGTCCCATGGCTCACATCCTTCAGAGGGCACATGAAAGTTCTAGTCCTGAAAGAAATCATTGTGTGGCCAGAGATTTATTATATTCCTCCCCCCTCCAACCGGCAAAAGCAAGGTGACATCAAGGATGAGCTGCCCAGCTGTTGGGAGATGGAAGCCTGAAGATACTATCAGCAGACAAGGGCAAGGTAAAAACACCTGTCCTTCTCTAGCTGCAGCTTTCCCAAGCCATCTCACTGCCTGCAGGGCTCCCACAAAGCCCAGAGGGGGCTCGGAGGGTTCCTTTCCCCAGCCCACATTCTGGGTGTGGCCGGTTGCATTCCATCCTGACTTTCTCCCCTCCAGCTTCCCCCAAGGGTAGGAGTGGGTGTTTCCTTTCATCTTCAGCCCCTAGCCCAAAGGACGAATGCTAGATGACCACCATGGATAAAGACGTGCTAGTCTTCCAAGAGAGGAAAGCTGCGGCCAGAAGGCTAAGGGCTTCCGAAGACAGTAGCTATTTCGAAAACTGCGTGTGCATCATGGGGGCAGGGTAGGGAGGGAATGGTAGCTGTCAGGTGACGGGTGGGGTCCCTCTTGAGTGTCAGCAATACTGGAATAGGTGACAATGCTCATAGGGGCTTCTGGCAGGGTTAAGACAAAGCCAGGGAGAAGAAAGGGACCTCAGAAGAAAGATAACTTTTTAAATGCCCAGGGTGGGGAGTGGTAGAGGGCTAGTGAGGGATGGCTGTGTCCAAATCAGTGCTGCATTTCCTGGTTTCGACAAATGACTTCTGAGTCTGCAGGGAAGGATGGGTTCGGGTTTGGGTTCGGTCTGAAAGGGTCTGTAAGCCACTAAAAGGTGAAGAAGGGATACCACCACAGGGCTACTCCTGTCCTTGAGAAGAGGGTGGGAAGAAAACTTACCCAACACAGAACTGCTGTAAAAATCCCAGGATACACCGGGATCACCCTCTGCCCGGCCCTGAAGATCCGAGAGGTGATCTGATGAAAGAAGAGCAGGCAGTGAGACAAGGAGGTTAGGCTGGGGAAGGAATGCCCAAGTGAAGTCCATGCATATGGGGCTAACGGAATGGGAAAAGGGAAGGAAGGACCACAAGAGAGGCCAGGAGTGACGAGAGAGACACACATTTCCTGTTCTCAGTCAGAGACTGCACACAAGGGGACAGGAGACCAATCTAACCCACTGACTGCCTGGTGTTTGACCCAGTACTTTAAAAGAAAAGAAAAAAAAAAATCCCAATTTGCTTCCAACATTTTAATTTTTTTTTTTTTTTTTAAATAGTCAGGGTCTTGCTCTGCCACCCAGACTGGAGTGCAGTGGCATGATCATAGCTCACGGCACCTTGAACTCCTAGGCTCAAGTGATCCTCCCACCTCAGCCTCCCGAGTAACTGAGACTGCAGGTGTGTACCACCACACCTGGCTAATACTTTTTTTTACATTTTTTGTAGAGGATGGGGTTTCCCCATGTTGCCCAGGTTGATCACAAACCCCCGAGCTCAAGTGATCCTCCCACCTCGGCCTCCCAAAGTGCTGGGATTACAGGCATAAACCACCCCGCCTGGCCCCACTTCCAACATTTTTAAATTTTAAATTTAAATTTTCACTTAAAAATCCAGATTTCCCCATATTTCTGTGAAAAAGAAAATCTGATCTGGCAACATTGTGTCCAAATTCCTGCATGTCAACAGCTGGCTGGAGGGAATAGCAACACAGGCTGGCTCCAATTCACCACTCCCCACCCAGCCTGCTTCTCCCTTTTAAGCCTGAAGGCATTCAGGTTTGGGACCTCCACTTTACATGGTGTAGAGCTTTAACCCTGCAAGCAGAATCTTAGACCTATCCCAGGATTTTAATTCCCTGCTGGTCACAATGTTCATTTATCGAATCACAATCTCTCCAATTTATAGTAATATAAATAAGCATAAGTCCTTCTGGTTCATCTTTGAAGAACATGGGGAAATGGCCAGGTTTATCCTCATAAAATCCTTTTGCTTCCACTCCTAGGTATATATCCTGAAGAACTGAAATCAGGTGTTCCTTACACATGAGGCAGGGCACAGTGGCACACGCCTGTAATCCCAGCACCCTGGGAGGCTGAGGCGGGTGGATCATCTGAGGTCAGGAGGTTGAGACCAGCCATGGCCAACATGGCGAAACCTAGTCTCTGCTAAAAATATAAAAATTAGCCAGGCGTGGTGGCACACACCTGTAGTCCCAGCTACTCAGGAGGCTGAGGCACAAGAATCCCTTGAACCTGGGAGGCGGAGGGTGCAGTGAGCCAAGATCGTGCCATTGTACTCCAGCCTGGGCGACAGAGCAAGACTCTGTCTCAAAACAAACAAACAAACACAAACCCTTATACAGGAATGTTCACAGCAACTCCACTCACAAAAACCAAAAGGTGGAAACAATCCAAATGCCTATCAACTGATGAAATTTGTGATGGAAATATACAATGGTTCAGCTGCTGTGGAAAAATTTGGTCATTTCTCAAAAGGTAAAACACAGCATTACCATATGACCTAGCAATTCCATTCCCAAAAGAACTAAAAACAGGTTGTCAGACAAGTACCTGTCTGTGCGCACGTTCATAGCAATTCTATTCATGGCAGCCAAAAGGTGGACACAGCCCAAACATCCATCAATGGATGAATGGATAAACAGACAAAAATGTGGTATATCCATACAGTAGAATATTATTCAGCCTTTAAGAGGAGATTCTGACACATGCTACCCACATGGATGCTACGTGACAGAGGCCAGACACCAAAGGTCCCATATTGTATGATTCATTGAGATGAAATGCCCAGAAGAGGCAAACCCATAGAGACAGAAGAAAGTAGATTGGTGGCTGCCAGGGCCTGGGGGGCGGGGTGGGGAGAGGGAGGGGACGCTTAATGGGGACGGGATTTTCCTTTAAAATTATGGCAAAGTTTCAAAACTACATACTGGTGGTAGTTGTACAACATTGTGAATGTACTTACTATCACTTAATTGTACACTTTAAAATGGTTAAAATAGTAAACTTTGGGTTCTATGTATTTGACCACAATAAAAGTTTTAACAATCTTTTGTTTACTTGCTCTACAGACAAGGCAAGACAAATGAGGAGGCTAAGGCTACCCCTTAGCCTCCTCATTTCCTAGCTAGGCACTATCTAGTGGAATTGTTTCACCTCTTAGTCCTACCTGGACAAAAAGCAGGTCCACTGGCTTTCACGACAAACCCAACTGTATCATCTCTGGATACACGGCTCAGCCAATATGCCACACCCTGTACAACTGGCAAGCTGACTTAGTTGTGTTTGATTGCCACCAGCCCTCAGGTGACACCTGGGCAACCAGACAGGAGACAGTCCAAAGGGCACAGGTGAGGTGAGGGTGCCCCCTGAAAAGTAAATCCCAGGAGGAAGTTGGCAGCCAACTTAAAGAAGCAGAGCTAGTTTCCCCCAATGGGAAGCACCACCATGACCCAATATCTCTTTGGGATCATCCTATCAACAAGAACACCTATTAGCATTGTGAGCTACTGAAATGATTCATTTCTTTAGCAGCCTTCTAGGTGATGCAGGGTTTCCCCTAGTAGGAAAAGACAGCCAGAGAGCAGCTTTCAGAGTCATGGCTGAGCAACCAGAGTGGGACACCTCTAGTCATGCACATTAGATCTTCCGTGCACTCCCTGTAAAACAACTGCAGTCCCTCTGTCAGCTCAGGTGCTCCTCTGTGCCCCATGTCACTTGAGGGTTGGAAGCAGTTTCTTCCAGAAACATGTGTCAGTTAAGTGGGTGTCTCTTCTGTGCTAGCCCTGTGTAAGGTGTCATGGGAGATTATGGAGTGAGAGCATAAGTTCTAAAAAGACAGCGACCATGCCTGTCCTGTTTACCATTGTCTCTGCCATACCTAAGCCCAGTGCCTGGCACATAGTAAGAGCTTAATAAATATATGGAGAGGAAAGGAGGGAGGAATTCCTACAAGGCGAGACTAGAAAGTGCTTGCTTAACCAACATGCCAAAACATATGCATTCAAATGACTGCTGTCCCCCTCCCCCCCCAAGAGGTCACACAAGGATTCCATCAGAGCAGCCCTAGCTCACCACATTCCTGGGGCTCCTCTCTGGGAACTTCCTTCAAAGCCTCCAGCACATTCCTCTAATTCTCTTCACTGACTACCAATCTTTGTCATTTGCAGGTGAATTTGCCTTTTTGAGACAGCCAAAAGTTAACTGGCATGAGCAAAGATGCTAAACCTCAAACAGGCCCATGAGTGGCACACAGGAGGAGCTCCAAGATTTGGTCAGTGGTGCAGCTTCCATTCCCATTTCCTCACGGACGTTCACAAACAGTCCAGATGAAGAGGGATCTTCCTTTCCCTTGATTCCCCCCACCCCAGCCACGCTTCCAGCCCTTTTCTCTTATCCCTTCCTTGAAAAAGTACCCTAAGTCCAGTAATTCCACTCCTAGGTATATGCCCAAAAGAACTGAAAATGGATACTCAAACAAGTATTTGTACATGCATGCTCACAGCAGCACCATTCAAAGCAGCCAAAAGGGGAACACAGCCCAAATGTCCATCAATGGTGTATATATCCACATAAGAGAATATTAGTCAGCCATAAAAAGGAATGAAGAATTGAAACCTTCTAACACACAGCTAGACCTTGAAAACAGTATTCTACCTGAAAGAAGGCAGACACAAAAGGCCCCATACTGTATGATTCCATTGATATGAAATGTCTAGAATAGGGAAATCCATAGAGACAGAAAGATTAGTGGTTGGGCGGGGGGCAGGGAGGAAGGGGGAATGGGAAGCAGCTGCTTAATGGGTGTCGGGTTTTATTTTGGGGTGATGAAAATGTTTGGGAGGCTGGGTGCGGTGGCTTACGCCTGTAATCCCAGCACTTTGGGAGGCTGAAGCAGGCAGATCACGAGGTCAGGAGATTGAGACCATCCTGGCTAACACAGTGAAACCCCATCTCTACTAAAAATACAAAAAATTAGCCGGGCGTGGTGGTGGGCACCTGTAGTCCCAGCTACTCGGGAGGCTGAGGCAGGAGAATGGCATGGTGTGAACCCGGGAGGTGGAGGCTGCAGTGAGCCAAGATTGCGCCACTGCACTCCAGCCTGGGCAACACAGCAAGGCTCCATCTCAAAAAAAAAAAAAAAAAATTAGCTGGGCATGGTGGTGCATGTCTATAATCCCAGCTACTCAGGAAGCTGAGGCACGGGAATCACTTAAATCTAGGAGGCGGAGGCGTCAGTGAGCCAAGATCGCGCCACTGCACCACTCCAGCCTGGGTGACAGAGTGAGACTCTGTCTCAAAAAGAAAGAAAAAAAAGAAAATGTTTTGGAACTAGATAGAGGTGGTTGCACAAGGTAGCGAATATACTAAATGTCACTGAATTGTTTGCTTTATTTTTTTGAGACAGGGTCTTGCTCTATCACCTAGGCTGGAGTGCAGTGGCATGAATACGACTCACTGAACCTCGACCTCCTGGGCTCAAGCGATCCTCTTGCCTCAGCCTCCCAAGTAGTGGGGACCACAGGTATGTGCCAATATGCCCAGCTAATTTTTGTTGTTGTTGTTGTAAAGATGAGGAATCACTTTGTTGCCCATGATGGTCTCGAACTCCTGGGCTCAAGTGATCTACCTGCCTCGGCCTCCCAAAGTGCTGGGATTATAGGTGTGAGCCAGTGTGACCAGACTAATTATTTCCTTTCAAATTGTTAATTTCATGTTGCATGAATTTCATCTCGATAAATTCTTTTTTAAAAAAGCACCTGCAGGAGCTGGGTGCAATGGCTCACACTTGTAATCCTAGCGCTTTGGGAGGCCAGGGCAGGCAGATCCCCTGAGCCCAGGAGTTCAAAACCAGCCTGGGTAACATGGTGAAACCTGCCTCTACAAAAAATGCAAAAATTATTTTGGTGTGGTAATGTGTGCCTGTAATCCCAGCTATTCGGGAGGCTGAGGCAGGAGG